GTTTTGAAAAATTTAAGGGCAGAATGAAATATTTATTAGAATAAATAATAAGTTTCTTTTGCATGCAATATTTTCAATTAAAAATTATACTATATTTCCTCTTTTATTTTCACCCCTGTTACATAAAGTATTAAAATAAACATTGTAGAAGTTTTCAGGGACTTTCTGCCCTCAGTAATAATGTAATCTTTCATTCTGCGTTTACATTTTTCAAAAATATTTATTAGTTTTCTCCGGATTCGAAAATAATGGATACATTTAAAACACATTGAAAATTTTGCCAGGCGACATTTGGCGCCTTTCCCCTTAATTAAATAAATGTATCTTTTACAAATGGCAAGAAACTTTTTGTTTTTGAATAAAATAAAGAAGTTTTATTAAAACAAAAATACAATTTACATAAGTACAATTCAAAAAATATATTTATTTAGTTCAAATAAATGTTTCAATCATATACTCTACGACACTGGTCGGTCATCTGTAGCCAAAATACCTTCGTAATCGGATTATAAAGTTGACTGCTGTATTATACTGGGTTAATCGAAAACATCTTAAACCGTCAGTTTCCAGTTGGTTTTTACTATTATATCGTGTTACCTATCCTCTCTGTATTTCAGTTCTCTAATTAGGGTTAAACTTGTAGTGAGATATCGACAAATTGTGAACCGATTATAGTTATAGATATTTTTTGACTTTTTGTAATCTTTGTCCATAAAATTGTCCATATTTCAGTGACAATAAATCATATTTCTATTCTATTCTATAAAACGTGGGAATCAAACTCAGGGCAGGATGACAAAGAATCAGATTCGGAGTCTAAATAAGAGGAAGGCGCTCACTTCTACATTTACAATCTAAAAAGAAAAAAGATTATTTTTATAAACAAAAACACGTATGCCAATGGAAGAACCTAACTCATACCATTTTTCTTCATGGTAACATGTGTTTTGAAAATTATTGCTAAGTTAACTTAAAATGGAACTAGCTGAAGCATGGTTAGTGTTAAGAATGCTCTAAACACTATCCAGAACTGCTGTCTATCTCTGCGAGCAGTGGTTCAAAATGAATGCCAAATCTTCTGATGCTTCCTACTATGTGACAGCCTTTCCTTTTCCATTATATAGTTTATTATTTATTGCTCTATTTATTACTAATAATCTATTATCTAACAATAAAACACTAAAAACTTTTGTTTTCAAAACTTTACACAAAATTTAATTTTAATTTTTTATCACTACAGCTTTTCTCAAGTGAGGCACTCTGAAACGAATTTCCATTCGTTGGCTGGAAAGGCCGAACGAATTTTTATCAAGTAATGGTCGAATCCATCATTAATAATAATCTATTAATGATCTTTGTCGTTCCACATTATCATATTTTCAAATATGTTCTTATGTTGAATCTTTTAAATGAAGAACGTATTGTTTATTCTTATCTTGTTTGAGTCACAGAAGTTCATTCAATAAATAATATCAATACAAAAATTTTGATCATTGTTATATTTTATTTCGGCTGTAAACGTAATTGAATCGAAAGTGCTTCTCTACATTAGGGAAAAACCATTCTGTACCTAATACTTCTAAACACTTCCCTCGGATATAGCCAGATGTTGGGAAATTTTAGTGGTTATTACGAGGATTAATGCACAGCTAGTAATAAAGAAATATTGTTGACAACGAACAGGTAAGCTCATAAAGTAAATACTACTACCTGGCTAGGAAGTCCCATTTCGCAGACGTAAACATTTTTGATTTTTGGTTTAGAATTCAAATTATATATTTATTGATTTTTCACACTTAAATAAAACTTAGCGCATTCACCATTTACTATAATAAATTTTAATTGAATATTTTAAAATTTTTGGAATAAATCACAATAATTTTAGTCAAAACTACATGATTTTTGTTTTTCACGTTTTAACATCCAATCTAGAAGTTATTTTCAATTACTGTAATTGTATACAGTGACAATATTATAATGTAAATATTATAATAAATATTAGGTAGATATGTTAGTATGGAGTTAATCCACAAATGATTGTTTGACATTTGACGTTTCTATTTCCACTGCGGAAATCGCTTTCAAAAAAAAGATACTTTTTAAAATTACCGGAAAATATATAACCAACAAGTTGTTAGTACGTTTTGATTGACCAAAATTTGAACAGGAGAGATGGAAAATGTAAAGACAGAAATGAACGACGATTAAAACAACAAAAATCAAAGAGAAAGAATTTAAGGTGGTAGAAATACGACTACTTAGGGGTCATAATTTCTAACGATGAAAAGATGGATTTATACAGCAAAAAGACCAATATCCACAGGCCTCAGGTCCACTCAGCCTGTTACCTCAACATAACAGCTATGGAAATGAAATATCTAATAAGGATTGTGGAAAGACCAACATGTATCTCTACTAGAAAAAACTAAGAGAAGAAAGTTGGGCTGCTAATGAGTAAAACCCAAACCAATTCAACTAGAAAGATAATAGAAGCAAAGAGAATAAAGGAAAAACGCAGAACAAGGACCAAAAAGATGGACGATAAATGAAATTCGACAAAAAAAAAGAAAAGACAAGCGAAGGATTGAGTGCAATGAGGGTAGCTGAGAAAACTGGAAGATAGCGTAAAATAAACGATCCGACGGTGAAAGTCATAACAATTCACGAGAAAAAAAAAATTTTTTTGTTTCATCGACGACAAAATGTTTTTTTTCTAAAAGTTTAAAATAGATTTTGAACTTAAAGGACTAAATATCAATAAAGTACATCCAGTCTTATAATTCATAATAATGTTAAATATAGTCCATATTATAGTCCAATCTTTCACGGTAAAATATTGTAAAGCCTCAAAATATTAAAGAACCGCACCTATTTTGATAAAATTTTTCAAATAAACTAAACTTTAAAAGTTATATATATGATTAAATTGTGTGGTTTTTATTTTTAGGGAGTGGAAACTACCCTTTTTTACTAGAAATTTAAAAATACTGATTTAGGCGTCATTTAAATATTAATCATATTTAAAATAAAGATTTGTTTATCATAGGGAAATGCATTTTATAATATATAATTATTTTTCAACCCTTAAAAACTACCCTCTAAGACAAAATTCGCAAATAAAATTATCTAATAATGCATTTTATAGTAAATTGAAATCAATTTAATACTAATAGTTTTATTTAGCAACTATTTAATGTTTTCAACCCTTATAAACAATCCCAGACACTAAAATTCATAAAAAAATTCTATGCTTCAAACTTTGAAATGGTCTATTTATGATAGAATTTTTTTTTGCTTACAAATTGTTTTTGTTATGCATGACGCCTGATTGCATTTGTTCACCCCTTAAAAACCACCCTTTACAGAGTAATGAATAAAAATTGTTTACTATAATTTCAAATTTAACAATGTTGTGAGTGCAGTCATTCAAAACCTCCTCATTATTATTAATATTATTTCCCAAATATTTCATTCATTAAATGATAATATTGGGGGATTTTAACGCTCAAGTAACCAAGTAATACCCAGCATCAAACAAAAAAATAACGAGAATGTTAAAAACGAAAATTGAGAACTGATGATCAACTTCTGCACGAATAACGAACTAATAAACAACACATTTTTTGACCACAAAGACCAACACAAATATACATTTAATAAAATAAATAATGAATAACTTGGAAAATATTAACTTAGCGAGAAAAAGAAAGAGCAAAAGTAGCATTTTTTGCTATAAACTGAATCCTCTATCGATTTCTGGAGGTTAAATATTTTCATCTCCAGGAAGGGGTGGTACTCACCCCTAGGGTAAAAGCACACATCACCACTATATATTTTTTTTTGCTTTGACATGTTTCTTATGCGTATTTCAAATTTCATGACAATCGAAGTATATCTTTATAATTCTGAGCAAAAGCCGTGAAACAAAGAACTAATAATTATCTGGAGTAACCAGGTTTTCGACACCATTTGAAAGTTTACAATGCTTAAAAGGAGAACCACCCCTAAGTTTACGATTGCAAATACCTTTGTCTTTCATATGTTTCTAAAAGAGCTAGTAATAAAGAACACCCTACTTATACCAATACGTTTACAGATAGATTTTAACACACTTTCTCTACAACAAGACTAGATCCATCATTTTACGAAAGAGTTAGAAGAAACCTTCATGAAGTACATCTTTAATTTCCTGAAATTCTCCCAACAAATTTCCAAACTTCTCCACCTTGGTTACCCAAGGTGGAGAATACCAATCCCCAAAATTAATAATAAGACTAACCTTAATATATATAAAAAAGTGAGACTATAACAGACCTGATCAAACATTCATTCTTAATAGAAATGGAAACTTATAAAAATCACTGTAAGATATACACTGACGCATCCAAATCTTCAGGTGTTGGTGCAGCGCATCCTCACATCCAATACATCCTTAAAATTTAAATTAAATCTTATTACTTCAAAGAGTCGAAACAGTCCCCGTCTCTCATAATAACCGATTCACTAAGCTCACTTCACATTATCAAACGTTTTTATACCAATAATCCAATTGCCTCAAATATCCAAACAGAAATAGAGATTCTAAATAATAAGAGCACTGTAGACTTCATGTTTGTTCCATCACACTCAGGTATACAAGGAAGAAGCAGATGAACTAGCCCGCTTAGAATCCTTCAGCCAGGACTCCATTCTTATTAATGAGGTTTCTTCAGATGACTTAAAGTCAGAAATAAAATATAAAGTGTTAAATGCGTGGCAAAATAAGTGGAGTATATCACAAAATAAGCTCAAGGAAATCAAACAATTAGTGTATCAATTATTGTAATTTTTTCTAACTTTACCTGTATTATATTTTTTAGGTTGCTAATAACACTCGTGGTTACAGCGTAAATAATAAGTATAATATTCCAGTCGTAAATACAAAGTGTCTGTAGAGTTGTAATAATAAATATTACATGTAAGAACTTTTAGTTTTTATTTAAAAATGAAAATAAACTTACTAGCTAAACATCTTCATTTTATCCATGTTTCTACGTTTCCACTTTCACTAAACTTTATATAGTATTCCCGCACTGAAACCATTGAGTTAAATTCACACATCGCACAACAAATTGTTACTAAAACTCCAGATCCGCTTCTTGACTATGAAGCCAAAGCAGCAATCCATTCCAGACTCAAAGTTAAACT